GAATCATTCTCTTTAGGTTGAACTTGCCAAATATTTGATTACCTCAGATAGTTGTCATGCGCCCATTTAATCCAAAGAATGTCCTTTTTGAGATGTATCATCCAAAGGAGCTTAGCTACAGATGCATAGTTCCAAAATTTTGCCGAATAAACTCATAATCCACCATTCTTCAAACCCTGGCAGATAGATGACCAGGACACCAAATGAATTTTACGTCCCCAGAGAAATTCAGCACACGTGCTATCAATCTTTTTTAGAACTTTAATAGGTAGTATATAGTTGCTTGTCCAAAAGATTTGAATTCCCAGGATAGCTGACTTAATTAGCTGCAATCTTCCTGCATAAGACAAGGTTCTGTTGTTGTGCTAATTTTGAAATTGATCCAACACCTTATTTATGAGAGAAGAACAATCCAGCCATGAGAGCCTCTTAGAGATGAGAGGGACGCCTAGATATCTCACTGGTAACATCCCCTCTGAGAAATTTCGGTAATTGCATATTTGAGTCTTCAAATCATCTCCAATGCCACTCATGTATATAGAGCATTTGGCTGGGTTTGGTTCCAAACCAAAAACCTAGCTAAACTCCATGAGACAATCATTCAACCTTGATATAGAGTACATATCAGCTTTTCCAAATAAGAGGAGGTCGTCTGCAAAAATTAGATGCGTGATTTTCATTCTGGAACCTTTGGGGTGAAACTTGTAAAGCCTTTCTTCTTTGAGAGTGTTAAGTTTTCTAGACAGGTACTCCATTCCTATTACAAACAAATAGGGGGATAATGGATCTCCTTGCCTTAATCCTCTTGCTCCTTAATTCATAGAAGCAGAACCTTGTTCAAGCTTCTATATTATATATCGAAAGATCAATTTATTTTCTTGCATAGCTGCAGAAAACTCACTGAATGTTAACACCACAACAAGCAAAATTGACCCGCGCGTTGCCGCGACATCTACGTGAAAACAATCAGAAATATAGTTTAAGTATTTGGCCTAAAAATACAATGTGCACCTAATACTTTGAATAAAATAGCAAGTCAAAGCAAAATATATCATCTTGTAATAATACAAAACAAAACACACAATAGTTTAAAAATATCTAGTCTTTTCTTTGAAACTCACCAATTTTAGCATTGTTAGTTAGTGGTGGGCAACGGACCGTGCTGGCTCACCCAGTGAGCTAGCCTATGTGGTCTCATTGGCGGAATGAGCTAGCACATGGCTCACAATAAGTCGAGCGAGACATTTTTTTGCCACTTGTTTTTAGGCATAGAACTCAACCTAGCCCGCTAACGGGTCCGAAAACAAATGAGATGGGCCATGTCACGGGTTGGCTTGCACGAGCCACTTAATTATTTGTTGTCATGTTTTCTAATTTTTAATTATTTTTACTAGTTTTTAAACATGTTTAATAATTAAAAATTATATATAAGTAATAAACTAACAATGCGATAATTATAGGAAATGAAAAAAATTTTACTAAGTAAATTGAATATTTGTACACATTGATTCAAACACAAAGATTTAACATGTTTCGAAAGGAGTTCTACATCCCTGAGCAGTAAATAATTATTCCACTAGTTTAAAAACATACAAGAACAGAAGAAATCAGAACACTTTGTTAAAAAAGAAATGATAATAACAGTAAAATCCATATCCACAGGTCGGGACGAACAAGCTAGCTTGCCCACCTGCAAGCCAGCTCTCTCGCTGGCCCTTGCGAGCAGAGCGGATTGCCGTCCCGCATATGGCTGAAGGCGGACCCAGCTCGTGTTACGGCCCCACCATTGTAGTGGGACAAGTAGGGCCCGCTCCTACACTGAGCTGGGTCAAGCTGAGCCGAGGAGTGGGCCGAGAGAGCGGGTTTGTGGCTGACTTGACCCAGTGCCCACCCCTACTGTTAGTCTTATAGTCATATTGTTCAAATTAGATAATAAAAAATTTACGAGGAGGGGGAAAAAAGGTAAGTTGGAGGATATTTGTGGGAACAGTTAGGGGCGCTTGGGGGTTTTCTGGGGGAAAAACAAACATGAAGGAGAGTTTCATGTCAAACGGCTCAAAGTTTTGATGTGTTAATGCACCCTAAACTGTTTTTTAATTATTAAGGGCCTGTTTGTTTGCTTAAAAAAATTGAAAATCAAAGAAATGAAAAACTATTAAATCAAAGAATTGTTTTGAGAGTGTTTGGTTTGCTAAAAAAAGAAGGAAATCAAAGAAATGAAGATAAGTTGTCACCTTATTATAGGATGATGTGAGTGATTTTTTAAGAAAATTTGTTTTGATGTTGTTTGGTTGACGAAAAAATAATAAAATAAATTATAAGAAAAATATTTCTTGTAATATGTTGTTTTCTTTTGCTTGGTTATTTCTTAAAAATAAGAAAATATATGAGATGAGATGAGTTGTCATTATATTATTGGATGATGTGACTCACACTTAAGGAAATTGTTTTCCTAGCTTTTTGGGAGGAAAACAAAGAAATAAAATATTAATGAGATGAGATGAGTTGTCACAATCTTATTGGATGATGTGAGTAATTTTTAAATATGAGATGAGATGAGTTGAGTGATGTTGTGGATGAAAATAATATTTTATTAGATGTGGTGGATGTGATAGATGAGTTGTTGGATGAAAATAATATTTTATTAGATGTGATGGATGAGTTGTTGGATAAAAATAATATTTTATTAGATGTTGTGGGTGAGTTTTAGACTATCTCCAGCAGGAGTCGAAATTTTAACCTTCTCTCTCCTGCCACATCACTTTATTCCCCCTCCACATAATTCAATATTCTTCATTTTCTATCATCTCTACAGCAGGAGTTTTTTCAAAAGATTTTTACTTTATTTGGGACCCACTATATACCCCACCTTATTTATTCATTTCTTTTTCTTATTTCATATATATTACTACTACTACGATTATTATTACTAATATAACTCATTTATTTATAATTATAATTTTTTAATATTTACATAAATAATATATATTATTAATTTAATTTTTGATAATATTTTTATATTAACAAAAAAAAACACGATTTTATTAAGCATACGGAAAAGTCAAACACACACAAATTATTAAAAACATTAAAGAAAACACACATTAAATTGGTAAATCTAATCAGAGGTTGTTCCAAATTTCTGCCAAATGTGCTCGATGAGATCCTTTTTCAACTGAATATGTTGGCTCCTATCTCGTAGTTCGGCTCTAGTATGATTATCCGATCCGGATCGGTCTCGAACATGGACTTGAAACTCAGGCAATACGTCTGTTTGAACACTGGAAGAGGCGGAAGAGCTAGGATTGTTTGACGGTTCAAAGTCGATATTTTCCCAGTTTCGCGAATACGAATCTCGTTCATCTTCCACTATCATGTTATGTAAAATAATGCACGCCCTCATTATTTCATCTTCCACTATCATGTTTGAAGAATATAGAAGCAAAAGCAAAGAGAAGGAGAATAAGGTGTTGAAAACTCAGATTTTTTTTTGTCTCCAAATTACACAAGACTAATCTCTATTTATAGAGGTGAAAAAATAAAAATTATTGATATAAAAATTATAAATTAATTCCTAGTATTTATCTCCCAAAATATCATTTAAAAGTTAGGAGTAAAACAAAAAAACCCAACCAATCAAGCCTTGACACATGGCTCTCTTTAATTGTTGATTTAATGTTGCGGGACCCACTCGGAGAGAAAAACCGGAGGTGAAAATTTCACCCATTGGCCTCCGGTTTTCCATTTCACCCCCTTTGAAAGCCACCCGTTGGAGCAAATAAACCCCAAATATCTCCTGTTGGAGATAGTCTAAATAAATATCTGACAATGGCCTCGTGCGTGATTCAGAGTCAGTCGACATTCATGTTTAAATAACAATAATCATCTGACAAGGCCTCGTGCGTGATTCAGAGTCAGTCAGAGCTTTCAAGCTAGTGATGGAGAGGAGGAGAGCGAGAGAGAGAGCTCTTCTAGAGATTGAGACATTAATTGACTATTAGATTTTTGGGTCATGGGGAGAAGAATTACGGGGATACGCTCGTCATCATTGGTCCATCAATAATTGATTGAAATTGTGGAGGATTGTAAGTTCGCAATAGGTGTCAAGTGCTTGCAATGAAAATAGTGTCTTTATTTTGAACTTATTACCCTTTTAGTTTTATTTTTGCAAGGAAACTCATTCAATAAGCATTTTCTAACTCTTTTACTCTCGGGAGAGCATTTATCAAGAAATAATTCTCTCTCAAAGGTAAAAAAACTAGTTTTTTTTAAAAATTCACTCAGGAGATCTATCCAGGGAAAATAATGTTGGGATTTTACACCGAAACCCCTAAAACAGCAGAAACACAATATAGAGAAAATACACCAAGATTTAACGAGGTTCGGCAACTGCCTACGTCCTCGGGAGCCACACAATAAATTTTTTATTAATCAACAAGAAATTACAAAGCTTGGAGCAGATCTCAAACTTAAGATCTCTCAATAAATACAAATCAACACTGTAGCTATAGTGTTAATTCCCTTCTTAAATACCCCTCCTTAGAGTTGTTGGATAAAAATAATATTTTATTAGATATTGTGGGTGAGTTTTAGGGATGGAAATGTGTGAAATTGTACTTTTTGAGTTTTCTTAGTTTGCATTTCTATTTTTTGGTTTTTTAGAATTAGGAAATAACCAAACAGCCCCTAAATGAAAATTAAGGTTTCTCATTTCCACTAGGCGTTCTCTCCATCGACATAGCTGCATCGATTCGCTCGCCGTTACAGGGCGCGGTTTCTCATTTCCCCTAATTTCTCAAAATCCAAAGCGACCGAAAAAGATACATCCTTTATCGGTGTTGATATCATCATTTTCTGAAAAGAATTGCGTCAAAAAGAACAAATGGCCGGAGTTCAAGAGTTGAGGCTGGGGCGGCGGCGAGGTCGGCAGCGGTGGGCGCGGCGGTGAGAGCACCGGTCAACGGAGGCGGTCATTCCGCCGTTTGACGTCCACTTAACGTTGGGGATCTTTTCTTGCCCTCAATTTCACCAATCCCGCGAACGGTGCAAAATTTTCTCTTTACATTTGAAAATCTCTTTACAGGGCGATTTTGCTTCTTCTTGGAATCTTGTTGTTGTTAATCGTTAATCTAATTTAGGAAATGAGTAGGCTTCAAGAAACCCTCTCTGGAATTCGCGGGTAAATTTCAGAGAAACCTCCTAAACTTTGGGAATTCTAAGATTTTGTTTTTTTGTGTGTGTGTGTGGTGGTGGTGGGGTGTGAGAAAAAGATTTTTTTCAAAATGATGTTTTAGTAGGAGGAACTTTTGGAAAGTTTTCTCAAAGTTAGTTTTTGGTGAAACTCCCTAAAGTTTAGGTGGTCTTCTCTAATTTTTAAAGGTTAGGTGGTTTTCTGAAATTACGCTTAGGAAATTTATGGTTGTTGCTGTTGCTGGTTTATCCTTAGATTTAGGATTTATAATTTGCAATTGGTGCTGTTTGTATGATGGCCATCGGTTCTAGAAAATTTCGTGGCAAATTTAAGATTAAATGATCTTTTTTGAATTTTACTGTGTAATACAGTTTATTTGATGAATGATTTCCTTGTTGTTTATGCTAGTAGTTAATTACTTTTAGAAAATTTACAATTTTTTCATGTACAAATGTTTGTTCTTGGGTATAGTATGTTGTTAGTTTTATGAAATCTTTATATTTGTGATTGCTGATGTTGGTAGGATGGACAATGTTTCTAGAATTTTGGGGAAAATTTAATACTACTTTCCTGTTGAAAGTTATTGTATAAAACTATGATCTTCGTATTGCATAATTTTCTTGTTCTTTTTGCTAGTTGCTCATTGGTTTTAGAAAAATTATGATATTTGATGTACAAATTGGTGGTTGTTCTTGCTAGTCTATCATTAGTTTATAAAAGTTCAATGAATAAGTGGAAATGAACCAACTAATTAATAAATAGTTCGTTAAGTATTCATTTAAGTAATTAGTTATATTCTATTCAGTCGTTCATTTAACAATAGACGAATAGAATTTACTAGTTGATTAATAAATTAATATAATGTACTCAGATTTATATTCAATTTGTTTGATAATTAACTATTTGTTTATGTCTTACACCTTTAGTCCATAAATTTAATTTATTACAAACTCTATTCATCATTTAAAGTTTGCAAAGTTATGAGATTTGGTTGATAGCAGTGTGGAGGGTAGAAGTGAAAAACTCCAAATAAAATAAGCCGACAGCTTCAATACTCCAAAAAATTAAAATTATTTTTGGAGTACAGATGGCATGAATGGTACATATTTCCAAGTAAACAGCTCTCTAATTTCCCTTTTTTTTTGCGGTGCAGTGGTTATTTAGAGTTCCACTGTCACTTTATTATTTATTTATTTTATCTTTCAGGGGTGGTTATAGAATTTGTTTCTCCATCATCTTCTTCTTCTAGATATATTTCCACTCACCAAGCAACTACCCATCGGATTCATCCCACTGATATTCGAATCAGAAAAGTTCCATTCTAGATTTAACTTTTCCTCCCTTATCATTCATATTTCTTGTCTTGCTCCTTCAGTCAAAACCATCAGGCCTATTTAGCCTTTTATTTTCTCATATATTAAAAATTCCCCCCATCTATTTTCTATGTTTTCTTTCCCAATGGCGAGGGATGAAAGGAAAAGCTCTGATAGGTTTTAATAAACAGATATGGAAACTAAAATATGGGGCTTGGATTTTCTTCGAAAGAGCTTAATTAGCTATTATGAAGATGAAGATTTTCAGATTAGAGAAAAATAAATTTTAAATTACAAGAATTTGGAGAAAAAATGAGTTCAATAAAACATTGATTAAGTTGATCAAGTTCTCAACTATAACGTAATTTGTGCATTTAATCATTTGTTGTCAGCAAGTGGTTGCCATACGACGGATGAATGAAGTATTGAGTAGCTAGGAAGAAATGGGAGAAAAAAGTGCATTCTCTTTTAATTAAAAAATTAATAAAACTCCATTTTTGGAGTACCGAAGCAAAATGGCAGGCACGGGGAGTTGAACTCAGGAACATGCCATTTAAAAGCTCGAGGTAAAGCAGATGCTTTTACAAATGTTCGCGAATGCATAGCAAATAATAAAATATAAGAACGAATTGAGTTTAAGTATGAAAATACTAGTCGAGCTGAATTCGAATCCGAATTCAAATTTGGTAAAAATGTCGAAATTTGAATTCAAGCAATCGGTTCATTTCCACCCCTATCAATGATTTGTGACTATAAAATTTAGGAGCTAATTGAAGATTAAGTGTTTGTTTTGAATTTTATTATATGAATTGAATTTGCTTGTTCTTGTTGCTAGTTGTTCATCAAAATTTATGACTTTGATGTACAAGTGATTGTTTTCTTACTGCTAGTCTATCATTAGTTTTAGGATATAATTATGATTTGTAATTATTGTTACTGCTGCGATAGTCATTGATATTTGAAAAATTGGGAGAAATTTAAGAGTAATTGCTTTTCTCTAATGTTATTATACAGCATCGAGGACATCGGATATGCTCAACTTTACCCCTCTCAACAACAAGCCAGTTCGAATAATGTACTCGAATCGCGATCCAAGTACCCGAACAAGTGCTGCAGCAAATATCTTTATCAAGGTACAGGGCGTTGTTTTTTATTTCGGGTAAAGCCATATTTCGAAATTGATTATTGTTTTTTGCAGAACCTGGACAAGAGTATTGACAATAAAGCGCTCCATGACACATTTTCAGCATTTGGTAATGTTATCTCGTGCAAGGTTGCCATGGATTCATCTGGGCAGTCGAAGGGATATGGTTATATGCACTTTGAGCAGCAGGAGACAGCACAGGATGCTATCAAGAAGCTGAATGGTATGGCTTTGAATGATAAGGTGGTTTACGTTGGGCCTTTCCTTCGTAAGCGGGAAAGAGAAATGCAGACAATGAAAGCAAGGAGAAGTTTTCTAATGTTTTTCTGAAGAATTTTTTGGATTCTTCAACAGAAGAAGATTTGTCAAAAGTTTTTGGCGAATTTGGACTAATTACGAGTACAATAGTGATGAGGGAGGAAGATGGTAGATCAAAGTGCTTTGGATTTGTCGATTTTCTCAATCCAGATGCTGCTGCAAGAGCTGTTAAGGAACTTAATAGAAAGAAATTTGATGATCAGGAGTGGTATGTGGAAAAGCACTGAAGAAGTCTGAAAGTGCGAGAGAATTAAAAGGGAGATTTGAGCAAGGTATGAAAGAATTAGCTGACAAATATCAAGGGTTTAACTTGCATTTGAAGAATTTAGATGATAGTATTGGAGATGAGAAGTTGAGAGAAATGTTCTCTGTGTTCGGCACGATTACATCGTGCAAGGTAATTTTCTCTTGTATCAATCAGTACGCTTACTCAGGTGCAACCATACTTCGTACCTGGGTAAGGTCAAGATAAGTATGTATACTACTAACATGCAGATTATGCAGGAGCCTAGCTGTGTAAGCAAAGGATCTGGATTTGTTTCTTTCTTAACGGCTGAAGAGTCATCTCGACCGGTGAGTTTGTATATTGATTTAGCATTTGAAAGCTGATTACTGGTAGATTCTTATATTTCTAACTTTTTTGTAGCTGGCTGAAATGAATGGTAAAATGGTTAGTGGCAAGCCTCTTTATGTTGCACATGCACAACGAAAAGAAGATAGAAAAGCTAGGTTGCAGGTACTTTTAATAACTAATTTTTTCTTCATGCCTGCGCACATATAATGAAGTAAAACATCATGAGTAATTCAATTGTGATTATAGTAGAGAAAAGGTTTGTTGTTCTTTCACTTAATTTCTTAAGTAATATTGCCAGTAGTGGCAATTAGTGCTCAAATAAGAGTGTTTGATCTTAGCATTTATAAAGCTCATCTTAGCTTTTATTTGTCCCATTTAACTAGAAATTGGACAATCTTTTGTTCTCTTTAAAGTTACATGCTCTAGAAAGGTTTAATCTTCTTCTGCGAGTAGCTGTTTTGTGCACATACTAATACGTTTAGTTCCATAGTAGTTCTGGTTCTTTAAACCTGCGATATGTTATCTTCTAAATTTTCTAGTTTCTTTGCATGCAGTCTTTATGAGTTTTTCTTTTGTATCTCTGTTTCTTTTATGTGAGTACAATTGTCTATGTCCAAGATTCCAATCTTTGTTCAGATGTTTGATAATTTCTCTCAGCAGTATATTTGATTACTTGATATAAATTTCTCTGTTACATCATATTTAGAAGAAGTTTTGTTTGTTAAGTATCCATAGAAATATAATATTATTTAAGTTTGATAACCCATTCTCCATCTATCTTCTTCCATGAAAAGGGGTTTTGTACATGAACATGACTTGTCGATAAGTACAACCTGTATATGAGAAAGCTATAACAATAGAATTGACCAAGTTTTTTCTTTGAAGAACTATAGATATTAGTGGGGCCTCTATGAGTTTTAGGCATGTGTACAAAGGAGTAAATGCATTTGTCAGTTAGAATAAGTGGGGATTATAGTTGATGGAGCAACAAGGACTTAATCTAGTGAACTTGTTCTTATATATCGGTACTTTTTCAAGTGGCCTTTCTTTGACCATTCAGTATGTTGTATTTAGTTGTATCCCTAATATTAATCTATCATTTGAAGTTGGTATTCTTCTGCCTTTCATTTGTTCACTTTAATTTAATTTTGAGGTGCATTTATTATGATCTTTGGTAAATATTTGTGGGTTTGAAATTAGTCCCAAATCTTCATATTTTGAAATTAGTCCGTATAATGTTTTTAAGTGTTTTGAAATTAGTCACCCAAATTTTCATATACCGAAATTAATCCCCCCAAATCTTATAAGTGAGTTGAAATCAGTCCCCTAACTTAGTTAAAGTTAAAATAGAATTCCATCCCAAAGCAAACAACTACTAATTAGGGGGACTAATTTCAAATAGTTAAAAGATTTGGGGGACTAATATCAAATGTTAAAGATTTGAGGGACTGATATTGAAATTGTTAAATATAGAGCATTGAGAGAACCTGATAACTATTCTCATCATACTAAGGGTATTATATGCAAGTACAGAGGTATGTGATGTAGCTTTCCGAGCAATGTGGGATATAAAACATTGTTTTAAAAAAGTGCCTAGATGCTCGCGTAGGCACTTGCCTATGCCTAATCGGTACTTAATCTGTCTCCCTAGGTCTTGGGAGCACCTAGGGAAGCATTGGATGCTTGATGTGGATTGCGCCACATCAAGAAGGGACATATTTCTCGCTTAGCCATAGTAACGGATGAAGAGAATAAGCCAAGTCAAAATAGTTTTGTCAAAACTCTATACGTAAATTCATTTTAGGTAAATTACGAGGATATGGTTTTGAATTCTTCCCTTCTTAATGCTAAAAACACCTACATATTGCTAAAGCGTTTGCCTAGGGTTCTAGCGCTTGATTCGGGGCTCAGAAGCGCCAAGCGCTTTCTAAAACGTTGGCTAAAAGCGTATACAAAAGAGGATGATATTCTCTATGTTAACTCTCCCCTCAAACTAGATTTGAGTAAGTCATAAGTAGTTTGCCGAGAAGAAAAAATGTTGCTATGTTGTGTGAGCCTTTTTGATAAAGTATGCTATCTGAAGATTAGTGCTCTTATGGGAAAGGGAGATCGTGCTAGTTAGGAGACGATGATGGGTGAAATGACAGACTATTTCAATGTGCTTGACCCATTCATGAAATAGTGTTGCTTGCAATTTTAATGGTCCTCATGTTGTTGTAGTGAAGATGGGTCGCAGTGGGAGAGTGGACTCCATAGAAGACGTCAGAGGCAAACGATCTCCGCGGTGGTGGATGTCATGGATCGAGACTCGGATTCATCACTAGAGCGAAAGAATTCTTGTTCCAGGAGATTAGACTCGTCCAAAAATATGCAATTTGTATTGCAATAATCAGTGGTGGATCAACAATTGATGATGTTGCCTGCCCATTTTGCGTCAATATAGTCTCATAGTTCTAGTTTGAAGGAGGCAGAGAAGAATAAGAAAATCAAGATAATCATGTAGCTGAAAGTAGCTCTATGCTTCTGAGTAGTGGAGTAAGCAGGGTGCGAAAATGAACTGGCTTAGCATGTGAACAGCATGTGAGATATTGGATCTTGTGATGGTGATGTAGACGAGGCTTCTTATAAGATGGCCACATCGGGTGTCATCAGTTCCACAATGCTTTTGGAAGCTACATCATGTATCTCTATACTTGTACCCTTAGTGTAATGAGAATAATTATTATATTCTCTCAATGTTCTATGCTTAACATGGTGTTAGAGCCATCCATCCTCAAATAGTTCTAGCCCTCTTATTTCTAAAAACTCAAACCCTGGCATCCTCCCAAAATCTAGTCGTCACCATCCTGTCAGCGGCTTTGACACATTCGCTCTACTCCGCTTTGCCTTCTGTGCGAATCCAACCCATTGCCTTGCCAGCCCTTCCCCTCACTGCTTCTTCTATGCAACACTTGCTGCCTCATTGCCCTACCCCGCTGCCTTTTTTCCCACCCACCTCTCCTATCCCAGATCATTCTACTTGCAGACCCTACTTCCCTCTAATCTGCAGGCCCACTTCCTCACCCCTCTTAAGATCTTTCCACCACCTAATCCCCCATCACCCGCGAACCCCCTCCTCCCTCTCCACCCATAGATCCCTTCATACCATACATTAGTACTTTGCCCAGCCACCACTCTACTGCACCTTCCTTTCCCCCGATTGACATCATCATGGCTACACAGGAGGTGAACCCTTTTACCAATATGCTATCAACGCTAGACTTGATGAAGATAACCGCCACGTCCGGGCTTACACTTCGCGTCATCCTCTGCAGCTGTTGTCCTTGGAGACATCTAGATAGCACCACGACGGTCCTATTCTACCACCTAATATATGGGACCCAACTAGATATGCCTCTGCCTTAACTCCTGCAAGGTCATCACGACAACTTGGATTTATGATGAAAATTGAGTAGTCACGACCATCATCCAATCCATCTCCATAACAATCCTTTTCAATCCGAACGCTTCGACTTTGTATCTTTTCTTTGGAAAACCTCAAGCGCTTCTACTCACAATATGATGTCGCTAATGAGTTTAAATTGTACTAGGAGATGTCCATAGCAACACAAGGCGATGTCTTCAATTGAAAAATCTGCACCTAACTCTTTGACCTCTGGGAGCGACTGATTGCCTTTAAGCCCTATATTCCCCAACCGCGCCTCCAAGGATATGTATCTAAGCACTGTTGGGGTGTAAAAAATTGACTTTCCGACGAGGGGTTGTTTGTATTTATAAGATTGGCTTATAAAAAACTAATGATCAATGTTTTACAACAGAGGAGAATGGACCTCCTTGTTTAACGTGGGTTCGTTGGCATGGACATAGTTACAAGAAGTGTTGGACATGGATACCAAAGACTAGATGAAGTGTCCGGGTAACCTAGCGTCAAGCTGATGGGCTCGTGCGCCTGGGGTGTGACAGGGCATCTCAGGTTGCGTAGTAGAGGGCATTTGTTTGTGGGATTGCTCAATGCTTGGGGGTAGTTGCACCACTTCTTGTGTGGAGGTGGTGGTCTAGGCTGCTATTACTTGACCTGAGGAGTCGGTGACTGGAATTGTGTTGTTGTGCAAGGGAAGGGGCCATGTGGAGGTAGTGGACCAAAGGGGGTAAGAACTAAGCCAGAATTTGCGGTGAGGGTAGTTTGCTGAAGGTGTTCTTCGGCCCGAAGTTCAGTTACAACTATCAATAAGGTAGGCCGGGGAGATTTTTATATGAGTTGGCTGTGGGCATAATTAAATTCTAGTCAAATTTTCATTAGGAACTGATACAGGTGCTGACAATCTTTGGTGTTGTGGTAAATGTTCTTGGAGGCAGGATCGGAGAGTATGTGCATAAGGGTGGAGTATTGCTTTTAGAGGTCGAAGTGGTAGGTGTAGAATTCTCGGATAGAGCAATCATCTTTTGTAGCCATGGGCACCTCCCGGTAGAGTAGGAATTTGTGGGCGTCATCGCATTCTGTAGAAGTGCTTGAGGTATTGTCAGAGGGAAGCTGCAGAGTCATAGTGCTTGAGTTGAACAGATTGTTGGGGAGACAGATTGGACGATGGTTGTGATTGCTCGATCTTCATCATTGATCCAGGTTGTTGTGATGCAGTATTTGTCTCCATCAAGTTACATTGATAGCGTGTTAGTGTAGATGCATCTCGTGTAGCCATGATGATGATCGATGGTGGCAGGAGGTGCAGTTGGCAGTGGTCGCACAGACCAGGGTTCTGACGTATGGTAGGAGGGATTTGCTGGTGGAGAGGTGGGAAGGAGGTTTGCGGGTGATGGAGGCCGTGTGGGTGAAGGGTTTGGGAGGTGGGCTAAAGGAAGATAGGGAGGGGACCAGAGGGCAGCAGGGCGGAGCGGAGGAAGGGGCTTGTGAGGAGGGGATCTTTTATTTTTTTGGGTTTTCTTGTGGGAGGGGTGGGTGGGTGTGCAGAGGGCGGTAGGGGTAGATGGCAATGCTCAGAGCCGCTGCGCAGCTGAACAGATTGTTGGCGAGGCAGATTGGACGATGGTCGTGGTTGTTCAATCTTCATCATTGATCCAGGTTGTTGTGGTGACCTTGTGGAATGCCAGAGTAACAACATCTCTAGTTGGATCCCTCTATTTGGTATCAGAACGAGGCCCGGTATGATGCTATTTGGGTGCTAGAGACGATGATTGTGGAGGATGATGCAAAGAGTATAAGCCCAGATGCAGTAGTTGTCTCCATCAAGTTACATTGATAGCGTGCTGGTGTAGGTGCATCTCATGTGTAGCCATGATGATGATCGATGGCAGCAGGAGGTGCAGTTGCCAGTGGTCACACATACCAGGGTTCTGATGTATGGTAGGAGGGATTTGCTGGTGGAGAGGTGGGAGGGGGTTTGCGGGTGATGGAGGTCATGTGGAGGGTTTGGAAGGTGCGCTATAAGGAAGATAGGGAGGGGACCATAGGGTAGCAGGGTGGAGCAGAGGAAGGGGCTTGTGAGGAGGGGATTTTTTATTTTATTGTTTTTTTTTGGGGGGGGGGGGTGCAAAGGCGTAGGGTTAGATGGCAATGCTCATAGCCTGCTGTGCAGGGAGATGATGCCTAGAATTTGGGAGGAGCTAGGATTTGATTTTGGGGATGGAGGGCTGAGATTATTTGATGATGGAGGACTCTTATTGCATATTAAGTGTAGTGGATCGAAAGAAATTGATGATTATTCTCATTATACTGAAGGTATTATGTACAACAGAGGTGTGTGGTGTAGCTTCTCAAGCTTGAGCATTGAGGATACTTGATGAATATTCTTATTATACTATGGGTACTATATGGAAGTACTGACTGCAGAGGGATGTGATGTAACTTTCCAGCCAATGCGGGACTAAAAGCATGTACAAAAGGGTAGGTTATCTATATGTTAACATAAGTAACCCAATAAGTACAGACTACGGAGGTATGTGATGCAACTTCCCAGGCAATGTGGGACTAAAAGTATATACAAAAGAGTAGGTTATTCTATATGTTAACAGAAATAATGCAATATTTTCCCTTTTCATTGAACAACTTATTCAGCAGTTAGTGTAACAAGTGCATCAGCTCTCTTCATTTAGATTTGGGCATTTTGATTACTTTTGTTTGCTCAGTATTCATTCTTAAAGCAGTTTTTTGACCTTTAGGCACAGTTTTTTCAAATGGGACCAGGAGCGTCACCTACTGCAATGCCTCGCATGCATATGTTCCCTCCAGGTGCTCCTGCTCTTGGACAACAGCTTTTCTATGCTCAAGCCCCACCTGCTCTCATACCTCCACAGGTAACAATTGGTTTCATACATGAGAGGGCAACTGAAAGAACTTAATATTTCATCTTCTTCTTAATTTTTAAATGTATGAACTGTTAAACTTAAGGGGTAGGATGGAAAATGCGAATGACTTTGATATTTTAATTATTATTGAAATGCTGATTTTGCTCAGAATGTCCAATGTCAAACTTGAAGGTTCAGTTTCTCTCTGTTTAATTAAGTTTTCCTGGTCTTTGTCAATAATATTTTTTACCCCATTTGTTACTGTGGATACGAAGGAGTTTACATCCTTAAAGGTATTGCAAATTCATTCTGTGGTATTGAAATCATCAGTTACTCCTTAGTCATTGGTAGGATGTTGGGGTTTAAGATAAAACACTCAATTATCTTGCATAATGATGATGACCTGAGAACTTCTATCCAGACTGGAGCAACAGGTGCTGACATCTGAACTCTAGTTTCACTTCAAGGTTTTATAATAGCTATCTTGTTCTTCCTTTGTTATTAGGGTCCTGTATTCGGGAGATAGACTTTTATTACTTGCTTAATATGACATCTTAAGTATCATCTGCACTAGTCTGAGAAGTAGCTTTTATATGAATACCCTTCTTCCCTGTTGGGCAAGGTTTTAGGCACTGTCGTAAATACTTACATTGTGTTGTAGAAGCGTTTAAACACAGTTGCTAAAGTTATTATTGATGAGCATGGTATTTTGTACTATGAATGAAAAGTTATTAATTTTTACATGCGCCAGGCTAGAGTGAAGATATATAAAAAGTGTCTTATGATTCATTAACTTCATTGGACTGAACATATTTTACGAAATTACAAATAGCTCATTCTTACAGCCTGGATTTGGTTACCCACAAGTTGTTCCTGGAATGAGGCCTGCAGGGGGTCCAATGCCAAATTTGTTTATGCTGTTAGTTCATCAAGGAAGTCAGCAGCAGGCTCAACGCCCTGTAGGTCATCATGGTGGGCAGGATCCTGGACAATTAATGCAGCAGCCCATGCATTTTCTCCCACATCAGGTTTGTCTTCATCATCATCAATTTCTTGGTTTTCTTCAGTTTTTCTGTACTTTGTTCTATATCTAATTGAACCAGTATAGCACTTTTGTGGTTCCGATATACATGGATTGCACGAGCAGTAGCAAGTGGGAAGTTATGTTCCCTTAGTGATGTTCTCCTTTTCTGCAAAACTCTTGATGTGCATCACCAGAGGCATTTTTATTCATCAGTATATTTGACTTTTGTATGGGTGATTTTTAGTTATATGCTATTTGCTGTTCTTTCCATTATCATTACAATAGGATTTTTGCTTCGATATAATATAATTTACTGTTAATGTTTTGATGTAGTTTGATTCCTACGTCAATTTTAAAAAAAATACTTTCACCTAGTTTGCATAGTAATTTTAGCTGAGGAACAGTACATCACTGTTACATAATTAAATGACTTCTGTTGCAGATGATGGCCTACTAGAGGACGCCCATACGGTTATCCTCAGGCTCGCAGTATGCCTGTTGCTCCCATGCAGGGTGGAAGTTTCTCCTCCATCCCTAATCATGACAGAGAACACCAGCCCCTGGCTTCAGCGCTTGCAAATGCTTCTCCTGATCAGCAGATAACGGTATCAGTCTTCCTGATTAGTAACTCCCGCTTCTTAGGTCATACATGCTTCAAAATATTTTTCTAGTTGTGGGTAAATTAACCCAAAAAGAAAAGGAAAAAAAAAAAAGAAACCTATGGTTAGTAGAAATGACAAACTGCCTATTGAGGTTTTAAAAGAAAGATTTCACCTCCCTCATTTTTTATTTCTAGTCAAGTAATCATAATTTTTTGGATGTAATCATCAACTTTTAATATTATAGTCGTGTTTGTTTATGTAGTAGCATATGCGATTGTTATATTCAATGATGTTTGTTGGCTAAATTACGAGATTGGTATTTTTAGTAGGACCATAGTTTTAATATGGTTTTTTTTTCTCCTTACACTTGCGACATTATGGGTATTAATATCAATATTTGACATCAATTTGGTATTATTTTATATAGGAAAATAACCAAATTGGTATATTTAGTATTAGAAAAAATTAGCCATATTGGTTTGTTATTGATACTGTATATGGCGCGAGTGAAAGAAGAAATACCATATTGGAAAGAAGGGTCCAACAAAAATACCAATGTGGTAATTTAGCCGCTTTTAGTTCAAGAAGATTCTAAATAGATATTTTTTGGTAAATTAAAAAAAATCCCTATGGTTTGTAGGAATGACTGAAAATCCTTGAGTCCTTATAAAAAAAATTCTTTAGAGAAAACCCCTCTGAGGTTTTAATAGAGACAATTAAGCTCCCTCATCTTAAATTTCTTGTGAAATAATGTCAAATTTTTGGATGTTATAATCAATTTTTTAATATAAAATCCTATGCTTATTCTTAAATTCAGTTCCTCTAACCATTACATCAAAACTCTGAAGTTATGGTGAGGATCAAGGATTATAGTTTTATATTAATTCTAACATGCCCCGCAGGTCGAGCGCCTTTTTTTATGGGTCGAAACCTGGACTCACGTAGCGGTGCCAATTTTTAGTAAATCCGCATTTAGTTCGTGGTCGGTGGGATTTGAACCTGGGTTGCTCTGATACCATCTTAAATTTGGTTCCTCTAAGGGGGGTTAGTCACATTGAACTTTTTAAGTAGAACTGAGATAATTGCTAAAGTGGGATAATTTTTTGACACTGGGATAATTTAGTGGAACAATGATGGATAATTCTTGAAGTGGGATAATTTGATAGGATAATTTAGTAGGATAATGGTGGATAATTTTATGAAGTGTGATAATTTGGTAGGATAATTTGGTGGAGTAATGGTGGGTATAAATTATTATTGTTAATAATTGTGTATTAAAATAAATATAAGATTGATAAGCAATTGATTAGTCTAGTAATAACTATAAAATATAATGTAATAAAACATCACTATTCATCTCAAATAATAAAATATTTTACAACTAAATAAAAATCTAAATCCCTAGAGTGACTCGACTTCCATCATCCCACATGGCCTCTGCCATAGAATTTCTCCAAGCTCCTGCAGCTGCTCGTTGAGTCTGTTAAGTCTGTAACTCATCTTCTTCATCGGAGTCATCATCCGCATCAGCAATATTTCGTGGAGCTTCTAGTGGAAGATCATAAATGTCGAAGTCATCATCATTGTTTTAAATATCCCCGACATGGCCCGATATATCCCCCGATATATCCTTTTACAGGGCTTGCCGCAACCGATATGGTCTTTAAATATCCTTTACCGTTTTTTGACTATTTTGAGTGATAAAACCCCGATATGGCCGATATATTAGCCGATATGTGGACCAATATATCTTTTTATATAGCTTGCTGCAAAATAATATACCGTGTTTGGAATTTTTGGGTGAGATCAAGATTTTCCCATTATATCAAATGACATTTTGCCCTAAAAAAAGCAGATCGAATATTGCAATGTTGTTTTGCACTTTAGTTTGTTTTAGAAAGTTGATTAGTGATCCTAAACATATATTATTCATATTTTGTATGTTTAAATTTCATTACATATGTTGAGATTACATTTTAATGCATTATACTATGTATATAAACATTCATTATGGCATTCCGATATTTACCACATATCTCCGATATTTCCCCGATATCCGCAATCCGATATGAATTTTGGCCATCCGATATTTACCCGATATCCGATATTTAAAACCTTGGTCATCATTTGTATTCTCTAATCTTAAAAAGTTATGCAATCCGACGCATGCAACGAACATCTTTATTTGTGTGGCATATGGAAAACCTGGAGGTTGGCTCTTGAAAATAGTGAATCTAGACTTAAAAACTCCAAAGATACACTCGACACAATTTCTAAGAGACGCATGCCGATGATTGAAAACTTCTTTTGAATTTCGTGGTCGTTGCCGATTATTAGCATGACCGAACTCTGAAAGATGGTACCTTTGACCTCGGTATGGAGCAAGAAATTGTAGCCTATTTGGATAGCCGCAGTCAACTAGATAAAATTTATCTGCAAACAAGAATAAAAATAAGAATGAGAAAAAAATATTATAAAACTAAAAAAAGCTTCTTTAATTGATAGAAAAAATATTATAAAAAAGATTATTACTCTGTGGAAGTGGAAGTCCATAAGGTCTACTCATTGCATCCTTCAAGACTCTTGCATCATTAGCAGAACCCTTCCACCCAGCTAAGACATAAATGAATTTGAGATCAAATGTGCAAGCTGCCAAGACGTTCTGAGAGAAAACCATGTCTATTTCGATAGGGCGTCTGATCTATGTTATACACCATGCACGGTATATGAGTCCCATCTATTGCACCGATACAGTCCTGAATAATTAATGTGTCAGACTATCTCAAGTGATGTGTGTGTGGGCGCGCACGCATGTGTGTCTGCGTGTGTGTAAAATCTAAAGCAATAAGAATTACCTTGAAATAAGGCCAAAAGCGAGATTCTGATTTAACCTTATCAGGTGGATCAGTATAGGGTGATGCCATCAAGCATGATGCTAAAGTTACCAAGGCCTGTAATGCTTTATTGAAACATACACTTATGGTCCATTTGGAACGATCAAATCGATCAGTTGCAACAGAGTATCGTTGATTCTGACTAACCGTGAGAAGATCAGTTGCAACAGAGTATCGTTGATTCTGACTAACCGTGAGAAGAAAAATAGCAATCATCTCCTCAACACTAATGTGGTATGTGTCTTGTATATGGCCCCGCTCTCTCAAGATATTGCATAACTTCATGAAGCAAACTGGGTACATGCGGTAAATTTTACGAAAATCCTGTGGATGATTATCCATCTTGGACTGTAAGTATGTGAGACTAAGATCTGTAATACCACGTCGAGGACTTCGAAAATTAAGCGTATTTGCTATGAACTCCTGTGATAGAAGTCCAGATATCTTTGTGATCAGATCTGCAGCCTCAGCAGCTAATTCGATTATGCGAATCAAAAGATTATCATCGAAGTCTTCATGATGAAAATATAAAATGGGCAAATTTTGATCTTCCTCCATCCTATTAAATAATATAACCAATGAAATATAATCACTTTACTTGAAACTTATGTGCATAGGAAATAAATAAAGCACTCTATTATTAGCACACAATGGGACCGATCACAAAGTAGCAATCAATTAAAAAATATTGACCTGTATGCTAACCGTTAATCACCAAACTATTGAAAAATAGAAGAAAACATAAAATTGCACTACTCTCATCTACACAACATACAAGAATCATTTGTTGGGATGATACATATAGAAATTTTATCCATTAAATGCACCAAACTAAGATAGCTGACAAGTCAAATAACATAAGAACATAATATAAACAAAAAAAACAAAAGCATATCACATTCTAAAAAAAACATGACATTATCCCAAGTTCCACCTATTCAATGAAAAATAGTTTGACAATATGAAATTCCTCATAATCCTAACACCATAACAAATCTTTAAAAACATAGAAAGATCCTAAACTGATAAATTATTGCCTCTAAACATCTTCAAAGAAATCAGAATCATAATGTTCACCATTTGGATCAGAATTGGCTTGAGTCCCATCATTACCATCATTCATTATCTCACCAGTCAACCTAAAATGTAGAAACTCATAGCGGTCTTTTGCATCCATGTCAATAAATGCATCCTTCATGTCCTGTGAGATATTGTCACTGAGGATATTCCATTTTTGTGGCTTAGTCAATTCAGAAGTAGACATAACAGCATCAACCCATTCTTTATTCCGACCTTTTCTTATCTTCATCAACTCATCAACTAACTCGTGAAAAGCTTTACCTACAGTAACAACTCCCTCTCCTACCTCTTGCAACGATAACTGGAAAGATGCAGAGGACGTGCCTGCAGTACCAATTGACCTACGCCTTCGTTTACCATTATTCAGAGTGGATGGTCCAGAACCAGATAATGACACATTATCAGTGGGAACGGTGGTAGCATGTTGCATATCTACAGTAGCATTTCCTCCATCCGGAGATTCCATCTCAGCATCAGCACCAAGTATGCCCTCCCCAACCACTTCCTCTAAGCGTGCTTCATCCAAGCCATCAGGACCTAAACCTATAGCTCCTCTGTCAGAAGCACCATGGTCTCCGCATACCATAAGTATATCCTCAAAATTCTCAAAAAGTTTATCCTTGAGATTTGGAGTATTTGGACGTGCCTAAAACATGACATACGAAAGAGAGAGAGAGAGAGAGAGAATATGGAAATAATATGACATAAACCAACCTCTAAAATGCCATTCCACACTTCGTCGGGACAAGTAAATTTCTGTGTGCTAGGGTCCCAACCAAAACCAGAGTTATTTTTCATCAGGATCTCAACAGGTGCAATCTTTCTCTTCCATTGCTTTATCTTGTTCATTACATGATTATATCTAAAATCTTTTCTAAATTTTTCAACCAGAGGGGGTATCACATTCCTCATAATCACATGCTTTTTAAAACTGTCATTTGCTTGTTTATTTCCATTCTTAACTTCCTCTACTAACAGTCTAAGCAATTCATTAGCCTCTGCTTCAGTCCATATCATATAATCCATCCTTGCTTTTTTCTGTCCCTCACTTTCTTGACCTCGAAATATTTCTTCTTGATTTTGACTCTGTGATCTTATGTCCATCCTATAACAAATTCAAAAATAACTTTTCATAATCTCAAATATGGAATTGGATTAAAATATAAATGCATCTGATATAAAAAGAACAAGCACATATATAATAATAATGTGAACACAGATGAAGACCCTAGTGGCTGGCGTCCATACTATACATTTGTCAACCAATTACGTGAGAAATATGCAAAGAACGAAGTTCTGCCAAGTATATCCCCCCACCCCTCCACCCCCCACCCCACCCCCCACATATAATCCATCCTTGCTTTTTTCTGTCCCTCACTTTCTTGACCTCGAAATATTTCTTCTTGATTTTGACTCTGTGATCTTATGTCCATCCTATAACAAATTCAAAAATAACTTTTCATAATCTCAAATATGGAATTGGATTAAAATATAAATGCATCTGATATAAAAAGAACAAGCACATATATAATAATAATGTGAACACAGATGAAGACCCTAGTGGCTGGCGTCCATACTATACATTTGTCAACCAATTACGTGAGAAATATGCAAAGAACGAAGTTCTGCCAAGTATATCCCCCCACCCCTCCACCCCACCCCCCACCCCAAAAAAAGTCACTCATTTATCTTCTGCAATGCTATAGACCTGTAGAGAGGTTTTGCTGGTCTTGCCAGTTACACTTTTGTTATATAGCTATTTCATTTGTTAGCTTGACAATGACAAATGTGCACATATATAAAAAAAATATGCAGCAATCCAAGCCAATGTCTTCTATAATTTGTTATGTTTCTAATGGAAATGTGTTCTCTGTTTTGGACAAACAAATTGAGATGCGAACCTGAGACAAAAATAAAAAAAGCTTGTGTACATTTGTGCAGTGAATTCGGAATCCATGGGTAGGTCAAAGTACAAGTATAGGTCATTAGAGAACTAAAAGAAATGAAATTTTCATACATTTTGATTTGAGAAAGCTATTGGCCCTTAGTTGCTGGTTAATCTTGAAGCTTCGCATTTAGGTTCAAGGATTGATCGAGTTACTGGTAATTTAGAATGTTTTTGTTGCTTGAAGTAGAGCACCCTAATTTGGGCCTTATTAAAGTCTGCGTCTTGTATGAATCTGCAACTGGGGAAAATTGAAAATATAATTTGCGCCAGAGCCAAGATGTGCACGCTTTCACATTGATTTCTTAATTCATGGGTAGTTGAAAGTATTAGGTATTATTCAGCTAACTCATTGTACTTTGGGGCCTGAGATTGATGTGTTGCAGGTATAAATAACATTGTCCAAGAATAGAAAAAAGTAGTTTGGATATGCAAGAAACTAATTATTAAGAGAGGAAGTTAAAGGTTGAAACATTTGATTCGATGTTTGTGATGGTCACAGGTGTCCTGGTCGCTTACAAATTATCCAAGCATGCCTCTCATGGTACAATAATATATCTCAGGGTGCAATCTAAAAATCTTCTAAGTATAATTGCCACATGTAAGAAAATTTTTAATGCATTAATCCACTCTTTTTGCTTGTCAAGTTTGTACTACAACTCCTTTTAGCTATTCTCCTCCTCCTCCTCCTCCTCCTTTTTTTTTGGTAAATCGGTGAGTAATTACCCCATGTGGTCCATTGATAAGAACACATTTACCTATTCTAATCTTTTCCTGATTTATGAATCTCGTCCAACATCGATCAAGCCTAATGAAATCACCGCCATAGTCCAATTGCTTACATCCAAACATAAAATCCCTAAAACTGCCTAATTTAATCGGACTGATAACATCAGAATTTATTTTGAAAGTCACATTAATAATTTCAGTTCCACATAGATCATCAACTTTGTTTAAAATCCAAAGAACTGAAGTTATATACCTGATCTCGTGGACGGCGCAGGAGAAGTTGATGAAGTCGGAGAAGATGACACGGCGGAGACGACGCACTGGGAAGGGAAGAGGATCGGAGAGAAGAGAGGCGGAGAAATTTTTCGGGAGGGAGGGAGGCGGAAGCACCGCTTCAATTTTTCCCCCAATTGGTTCTTCTCAATGGGTAGGATAATTTTTGAGAGGGGAACTTATGGCTATATATATAGGTAGTATAATTAGTGGGATAATTATAACAAATTATCCCAATTCTAATTCAAGTAGAATTCTACTTGACTAACGCACCAAAAAAATAATACAGTTCTAGTTCTACAAAAGTTCTACTTGACTAACACTATAAAAAAAATCTCATTTCCTAATTCTATGTGACTAACACCTTAAAATTTTATCCCACAGATTATCCCAGTTCCAGATTTAAGTTCTATGTGACTAACCCCCCCTAACCATTACACCAAAACTCCGAAATTATAGTGAGGATCAAGAATTATAGTTTTATATTAATTCTAACACTTATTTATGTAGGAGCAAATATAATTGTAATATTCAATGATCTTAGTTTTTGCCTCAGTTAATTTTCTAGAAATTGAAATGGAAGCAGTCAAATTGTCAGTTTTGAAATCTTAAAAGAGTTTTCTGTTATTAGGCAAATCTTAGCGAGATTTTCCGTAACTTAATCATATATTTTCAACACCTTATGGATACAGTGAACTTTTTTTTTAACCATGTCTATCCCTGGCTTGTTTTCAGATGCTTGGTGAAAGTCTATACCCTCTGGTGATGCAGCTAGAGCCCGATTATGCTCTGCTAAAGTGACCGCGATGCTCTTGGAGATGGACCAGACCGAAGTCTTGCACCTATTGCAGTCTCCAGCATCTTTGAAAGCGAAAGTGATTGAGGCCATGGAAGTCTTGAGAAATGTCGCTCAGCAGCAGCAGCCGCCGGCTAATCCACTTCACAGTCGGTTGGCTTCACCGTCTCTGAATGACGAATCCAGCAGCAGCCGCCGGCTAATCCACTTCACAGTCGGTTGGCTTCACCGTCTCTGAATGACGAATCCTGTGTCTGTTTGGTTTTTTCCTTAGTTGAGTTGTAGGTGAGGCTAGATGAAGTGATTTTTGAAACGTCTCCGTTTTGCTTGAGGTTTGTTGTGCCATTGCTGGTGGTTATCTTTAGTACGGGTGCACTAATTTTTTTGTCATATTAGTGTAACTTTCTTGTTCATTTAACTATTGAATCTCTTTGGATCTCCTCCTCTCCAGGTTTCAAGTTAACGCAGTAGCAAGCGGTTGAAGTTGCTAATATGATCTGTTAACTTGTTGGGTGGAGGACCGAATTGCTGCTGAGTACTGCTGATCATTTATTTTGCAAAGAAGAATTTTTCAAAACAGACCCACTCCAAATTTTTTTTCTTAAAACCGACCCGTTTTTTTTTATTTATCAAAACCGACCCGATTTTGTAATTAACAGCTTAATCACCTTCCTAAACAGTCGGGGTTGGCAACCCCGACTATTTAGGACTTTAATTTTTAGGGTTTAAGGCTTCTAATTAGGGTTTAACACCTTCCTAAATAGTCGGGGTTGCCAACCCCGACTGTTTAGGATAGTGATTAAGCTGCTAATTACAAAATCGGGTCGGTTTTGATAAATAAAAAAAAAACGGGTCGGTTTTAAGAAAAAAAAATTGAAATGGGTCGGTTTTGAAAAATTCTTCTTTTGCAAATGCCTGAATGTGTGGGAGAATTTCACAATTGGCAAAGTACTGCTGAAATATTTAAAATTTTTTGGACCTTTTTATTTATTTTTCCTGTGCCCAATTTTATCAGTGGGACTTAATTGCACCATTAAATTTCGTTGATAGCAATGTGTGGTCATAATTATGGGGAAAGACCTGTAGACAAACATACCCATGAGTGCTTTTCTTGGAGAAAGCTTTTGTGATCATCAGAGTATGAAATGTGTGGGATAGCTCATATTGTACATCTGGGATTTGTATTCTCTCTGTATTAAATGTAGTGGAGAATTTACTCGTTCAATTATAGCCACTCGTTAAGATTTAATTGTTATTTATCTTAAATCTAACGCTCACCTTCCATCGCATTTTTTTTTCTATGGAGAGCGTGTGACTGACAGTGTCTAATTTTGTCTAAGTGGTGTGATAATGCACTACTAAATTATCTGCTTTATACATATATCTACACACATATATGGAAAAGTGTTCATAAGATGACATGAGATTCAATCTAACGTAGCGCCTTCAAAACTATATTATATGCTATCAAATTGCTCGATCCGTTTTGTTCATTTTAATTCATATGTTTTGGATTGTATACAAATAAAAAAGTAGCCTTGTTGGGTTGTAGTTACTTACGCATCAAGTGATTGTAAAATTAACGGTTTCAAGACGATATAACTAAAAAGACAACGAAAAATATGTATTAGAAGTATTTAATCATCATGATTTTTATTTTATAGATGTTTCGAGACATTTGGATCACGATGAATGGAACGGATCATCGATTAAAATAGTGTAATTCATAAATTAAGAGACGCTGTCTTAGAGTGGATCTAAGGTGCCATCTTAATTATATATATTTTTTCGGTACGGGTATACATATGTATGAGTATATATATATATATAAATATTGTATTTTCATCCTCTTTTGACACGACTGGAATTTAAAGCGGACACCACGATACAATCATCAGCACAAGGGGGATCGAGCAAAATCCTTGACCGTGGACCTTGGACACAACGAGCCTCAGGCAGCAATAATGATGACAAGAAGCAAAAACGTTAGTCGGTGACTGTAGCTGCTGAGCTCATCTTGCATGGGGTTGAACTCCGATACTAAGTTCGTAGTAACAGTCTGAAACCCTGAGCTACGTACAGAAATCAAATTTAACTAAGAATACTGCCACCATACAATCATCAGTACAAGAATTGGGTAGAGATTTCGCTGGCTATATCATACAAAAAAACGACACAAATCCCAAAAGCGGCAGCGCTTTTCCCCAGCACAAAAGCCACGACACAATCGATTCGCTGCACGATGTCAGCGAGCCTGCTCGAGTCAAAACTAAAGCGTTAGGCTTGCGTTTACCTAAATGATAAAAAAGTGACGAACTAAAGTGCTAAAAAAAAAATGAGAATATCATCCATCAATTGGTGTTTACCATCACATCCCACTCCCCCAACTACTTCTGCAGACTTGCTTTCCCTCCCCACCATTCCTTTTCAAGCCACCCCAAAAAGAAATCCCTATAGCGAGTCCTCCCAAGAAAATCAAACTGAGGAGGAGGGATCGGAACGCAAAATAAGTTTTCAACCAGTAAATTTATTGATACAAAGGAATAGTTGATCTACAAAAATGAGAACGCTAAGAGATAAGAGGGGTTGGGGTGAATTAAGTAGAAATTTATGCGTGATCGCCCAATTCTATACAATTAGGCGGATGATCAAGCCACAATTAATTATATCCACTGAGTGTGAATCACTTCCCTTGACATGCATCTTTTGTCCGACTTCTTTGAGTTGAAAACATTAAGTAAGCGCATTCATCAAACTTCAGAATTATATATTGATAGTCGGATACATGTCGCGTTCTACTCTCTCTCTCTGCTGTATGTGTATGTGTGTGTGTATATATAGACACACAGTCGCACTCGCTCCCCAAGGCATGGGATGGGATGGGATGACTTTCTTTATAAGCACACACAAATACTCGCTTCCACTTTCCCTTGCAAGCACATGACGCCATTGTTGAAAAAAATATGATTGACCACGGCTCGCGTTGAGATTGGATGATAGGGCTTGTCGGAATTGGTCTTTCTTTCATCACAGATATATGGAAAAGTGTTCATAAGATGACATGAGATTCAATCTAACGTAGCGCCTTCAAAACTATATTATATGCTATCAAATTGCTCGATCCGTTTTGTTCATTTTAATTCATATGTTTTGGATTGTATACAAATAAAAAAGTAGCCTTGTTGGGTTGTAGTTACTTACGCATCAAGTGATTGTAAAATTAACGGTTTCAAGACGATATAACTAAAAAGACAACGAAAAATATGTATTAGAAGTATTTAATCATCATGATTTTTATTTTATAGATGTTTCGAGACATTTGGATCACGATGAATGGAACGGATCATCGATTAAAATAGTGTAATTCATAAATTAAGAGACGCTGTCTTAGAGTGGATCTAAGGTGCCATCTTAATTATATATATTTTTTCGGTACGGGTATACATATGTATGAGTATATATATATATATAAATATTGTATTTTCATCCTCTTTTGACACGACTGGAATTTAAAGCGGACACCACGATACAATCATCAGCACAAGGGGGATCGAGCAAAATCCTTGACCGTGGACCTTGGACACAACGAGCCTCAGGCAGCAATAATGATGACAAGAAGCAAAAACGTTAGTCGGTGACTGTAGCTGCTGAGCTCATCTTGCATGGGGTTGAACTCCGATACTAAGTTCGTAGTAACAGTCTGAAACCCTGAGCTACGTACAGAAATCAAATTTAACTAAGAATACTGCCACCATACAATCATCAGTACAAGAATTGGGTAGAGATTTCGCTGGCTATATCATACAAAAAAACGACACAAATCCCAAAAGCGGCAGCGCTTTTCCCCAGCACAAAAGCCACGACACAATCGATTCGCTGCACGATGTCAGCGAGCCTGCTCGAGTCAAAACTAAAGCGTTAGGCTTGCGTTTACCTAAATGATAAAAAAGTGACGAACTAAAGTGCTAAAAAAAAAATGAGAATATCATCCATCAATTGGTGTTTACCATCACATCCCACTCCCCCAACTACTTCTGCAGACTTGCTTTCCCTCCCCACCATTCCTTTTCAAGCCACCCCAAAAAGAAATCCCTATAGCGAGTCCTCCCAAGAAAATCAAACTGAGGAGGAGGGATCGGAACGCAAAATAAGTTTTCAACCAGTAAATTTATTGATACAAAGGAATAGTTGATCTACAAAAATGAGAACGCTAAGAGATAAGAGGGGTTGGGGTGAATTAAGTAGAAATTTATGCGTGATCGCCCAATTCTATACAATTAGGCGGATGATCAAGCCACAATTAATTATATCCACTGAGTGTGAATCACTTCCCTTGACATGCATCTTTTGTCCGACTTCTTTGAGTTGAAAACATTAAGTAAGCGCATTCATCAAACTTCAGAATTATATATTGATAGTCGGATACATGTCGCGTTCTACTCTCTCTCTCTGCTGTATGTGTATGTGTGTGTGTATATATAGACACACAGTCGCACTCGCTCCCCAAGGCATGGGATGGGATGGGATGACTTTCTTTATAAGCACACACAAATACTCGCTTCCACTTTCCCTTGCAAGCACATGACGCCATTGTTGAAAAAAATATGATTGACCACGGCTCGCGTTGAGATTGGATGATAGGGCTTGTCGGAATTGGTCTTTCTTTCATCACAGACT